TGTTTTAACAACATTAGCCCATGGGCTAACCAGTGTGCTGGGTCCCCTATGAAAACGATTCACAGAAATAAAATATTTATTTATGGCATCTTGATATACAAAGATAAGCATAGAGCACTTATGCTTATGCACGTATCCAGTGGGCTCATGTATTAAGACAGCATAGCATTAAGTAGATCTAGTGAGAAACTTCTGAACACACAGTTTCTGAGAAAATGCAAAATGGAAGGTTAGAAAATAAACAAGACAGTCCTTCAAGAAACATGAAAACCATGATGTGAACCAGGACCCTTCAATTTGGTGGGCCATGGGTCATTGAAGCCTAGCAATTGGCCTGCAGATCACTGCCCTGATAATCTTTCTATGTGAAGCTTTGGCCTCTTGCCCGTGACAATCCTCACTTTCCCCATTCTGGCCCATTAGCAAACTTAGTTGAACAGCCCTGACGCAAACAGTTAAGAATTAGGAGGATTTTTATGAGAAACATGAAAACTTAGTAATTACCTCTTCAGGACTTCAGACAAACCCAAGCAATTAATGGATGTTGTGTGGGAATCAGATGCAGGATAAATTAAATATACTTGATGCAAGATTACAGCAGCTAGGTTTGCAAATCCATAAGGGAAAGACAAAGATAATGAGAATAAATCAGGCAAGGAGTAATGTGGTTTCTCTTAATGGTATTCCACTCGAAGACATGGAGTCATACATATATTTGGGCAGCAATGTAAATAAAGATGGGGAAACTGACAGAGATATTAAAATTCAAATACAAAAGGCAAGAGGAGCTTTCATAGCACTAAGAAATTTGTGGAGCTGAAAAAGAAATTAAAACTATTACTAAAAAATTTTTTTTATTCTTATGTCAAATAAGTAATGTTGTGTGGAGTGGAAACATGGAGAACAACTAAGGCAATTAAAAATAAACTACAAAATGGTGCCTGTAGAATAGAGGGCTTTAAATGGTATTATAGAATCACTAATGTAGAGCTATGGGAGAGAACTAAGCAAGTTCCAGCGGACCAAGAGGTGAAGAAAATACGCTGGTGTTGGATAGGACACAAATTGAGAAAACCTGAGAACAATATAACTAGAATGTCTTTGCACTGGAACCAACAGAGGCCCAGAAATAAAGGGAGACAAAAATACACATGGAGAAGGGAGCTACAGAGCAAAGTTGAAAAGATGAGGAGGACATGGGCAGAGCTGCATACAATTGCGAAGGATACAATGATAAAGCGTGAGGTGGTTGAGCACCTGTGCTCCATTGGGGGTTAGAAAGGCAGAAGAAGAAGAAGTGGGTTTACTGGGCAATTTGATCTTCAGTAGTCTTCCATTGTTCACTAGCTCAAACAACAGTCAAAATCAGTGCAAAGTGGTGTGCTTAGAAATCACCCACAGCTGAAGAAGACAAAATAAATCAAATACCTGGATGATCTGGTCGCATGGAATAAGTGGGGTAAGAACACTGATCTGAATGTGTGAATGACACATGATGATGATGATTCACATTGCCATTTCCTTGGGTCTATTTAAAAATATATTTATACACAGGCTTTTATCTTTTTCTACTTACTACTGCTAGGTGATAATATAATAAAGACACCACTAACACAGACATAAAAATAAACAAATGCTGACATATTAAAATATTAGATTATGATGAAATCTTTAACTATCTACAAATTTTGGCATCATAAAACATTCCTAATTACTACTGATGTAAAAAGTGTTATGTAATACTGATATCATAAAAACAAACACTGACATCTCACACACAAAAATCACAAATGGACTGACATTAAAAAAAAAAAATTACCATTAATTACTTCATAAAAACGTCTTTAACTAACAACAGCACCATGATACAAATATCCCCAACAAATACTGATTTAATGAAAACATCACTAACAAACTCTTTCTTTTGTTCATTTTCTGCATTGTGCCTCTCTGACGGTGCAGGTTGAGAGATGATCGGTTTTCAAGCTAGAGCACACTTGGTTGCCTGGTATATGCTGTGATGTTGCATTCTCAAGATATGTGATTCCTTCAGTCATTATTTTCTTGGTCATTACTACATCTTGGTGTTTCTACTTTCATGCTGAACATTCTTGTTGCTGGTATCATTAAATGCATTCTCATTAAATGGTTAAATCATTTCAGTCCTCGTGTTTCGATGAATTTAATTATAGGCATTGTCCGAATAGTTCTTGGAATTTCTTAATTTCTCAGATGATCTTATCTAGTTTTGTTCAGGACCTTTCTCATACATCTCATTTCACAGGTGGTTAATTTTCTTTTGTATTCTTTAGTCAATGTCCAAATACTGACATCACAAATACATTACAGATTCTTATTCATAAGTCAATGTCCAAATACTGACATCATACTTATTCTTTAGTCAATGTCCAAATACTGACATCACAGAAACATCACTGATACTTATTCTTTAGTCAATGTTCAAATACTGACATCATACTGATTCTTTAGTCAATGTCCAAATACTGACATCACAGAAACATCACTGACACTTATTCTTTAGTCAATGTTCAAATACTGACATCATACTTATTCTTAAGTCAATGTACAAATACTGATGTCACAAAAACATCACCGACACTTATTCTTTAGTCATTGTCCAAATAGTGACATTAAAAAAACATCACTGATACTTATTATTTAGTCATTGTCCAAGCACTGACATCACAAAAACATCACTGATACTTACTGCCTGGAGGAGATAGAGGAACTTCAACCACCAACTCCAGCTTCTCTCCCCAAGTCTCAATACTGGCTGCCTTGTTATGCTTCTCCCCTATCTTGCTACCTTCAAATTTAAACATAAGAAAGAGGCGGTTGATTTACTGGCTCATATTGTATGGTGTCGTTATACTCTATGCTCAACAAACAAGAATTAGCAAACTTCATTTTAAAAGGATTCAGTACTGCCATTTTAAACTGTTCTTCCTTCAAGTATTATTTTATTATCAATCTCTCATTTGGTTCACTTAAAACAACAATGTATGATATATATAAAACATAAAAGCATGGGGGAAAAAGGGGGGGGGGGGGGAATTGCCACTGCTGCCTGTATTCATCATTTTTGTGGTGTAGGCAAAACGTTATTTGAGCCTGAGGATTCAAGACCACATGGCTACTTAGGATTCAAGACCACATGGCTACTGAGGATTCAAGACCACATGGCTACTGAGGATTCAAGGCCACATGGCTAATGAGGATTCAAGACCACATGGCTAATGAGGATTTAATACCACATGGCTAGTGCTGTCGCCATGGACTGTGGAGGTTAAGATTATATTTCTGAAAGAAAATAAAAATCTTCAACTTTACTGACGATCTGAACTCAGGTCTCCTACACGAGAGCCTTGCACCCTTAACCATTCGACCATTCGCTCCTCAGTGCATGGAAATAAATTACTACACGCTTAAATATTAACTGATATTAACATTAACAATAAAGGCAGTAAATGGTTATGGAAATCTACAGCAGAACAACATAGAAGAATGCTTAAGATACTATGAATATTTTTAAGGAAATATGTAATTTACACTGAGATATGATTCAAATAGCTCGTTGTAACGCTATGTATAAAGGGTTGGTGATATCTTTGATTTACTGTGGAAGAGTATTTCACAGCTGAACTTCAAAGTATTCTGAGCTTGCTAATCCTAGACTCTAGGCCTAGTTATATGTAATATGTTTGAACAATTTCTATGTTCTGCATTATACTAAAGCAATAAATTATTCAATAAATGATTCTGTTTATAAAATGACAATTTGTCTTTGTTTAATTTAAAAAAAAAACACTGCAATTCTGTGCCTCAATCACTTTCACAGTGTGGGTTCTGGGACCCTATAATAGAGAAAACAAGAATAGACCCACTGCCTACCCAAAAGAATGCCGTAAAAGTGGACTAATTGGAGCTTCCTTTGAAGTCGGAGTGCATCTGCCTGAGAGGCAAGGAACCAACAGTCTGCACACAAATGAGTCAGATCTGTCAAACGGATGCACAGGCAACACTCAGGTTGTGAAACAGGACTGCAGTGCAGACGTGGATGAACAACCAGAACTTTCCACCGGAGTGAATGTGAAGAAGAAGAAGAAGAAGAAGAAGAAGAAGGCAGTGCTCCTCTTGTACCACTGTCCATAAGCCACAAGAACGGCTTTTCTGGAATGCTTACCAAAAAAATTTATCCTCTAAGCCGCACAAACCTATGTTTGCTGAAAACTAAGATCTAACCTCTAAGCCACCTCTTTACTGAAAACTAAGATCTAACCTCTAAGCCACCCCTTTACTGAAAACTAAGATCTAACCTCTAAGCCACCCCTTTACTGAAAACTAAGCATCTCTTCATCTTCTGCATTTATCTGAGGACGTGACTGTGTTGTGCCCATTAACAGAATGACTGTGTTATATCTGTGACCCCTGGCACACACATTAGACCTCTTTAGGCATTTGTTGCCTGAATATAATCGTCCCCATATGGGATGCAATTTTTTGTTAACTGAAGCCCCACCCTGGCTTTTGCCGGGATCCCTGAATACATCCAGGCCATAAATTTGGCCTAATGGCTAAAATGGGTTTCTGGGACCTCTCCACGGGTGGTCCTCATCGGCATGGTGGCACTGTGTGATGTCCTGGTGGAATACAACAAGAGAGAAAGAGAGAGAGAGAGATTTGTTGCCTGAGTTAGCCTTCCTGGTAAGTAAGCATTAATTAACAACCACAGATGTCGAACTTCAGAGGCTCATAGGCTCTGCAAAAGACAGTGCAGCTCATGCAGTAAAAACAAGGTTTCCAACAAGAAGTTAAAACAGTTCTCAAAGTGACAATAATTTGCATCTTTAAGGAGGAATAGCCAACCACAAACAACAAAAGTTCTAAATACCTCCTTTAATGGTTACAAAAGCCCACATGTCTCTGTAGCCGATTTCTGTGATTTTCTCACTGCCCATAGCCTTGATGAACTCACGGGCCGGAGACTTCAGCTGGAAAGATCCCTCATCCTGCAGAACAATGGTCTCACATGAATTGATATTAACTCATTCTACACATATATGGGAGTGAAGTAGAGTGGGTAAGGATAACAGCAGTTTCACAATAATGGATTTTTACTCCTTCTTCATAGATATGGGAGTGGCGTAGAGGGTCTGAATGACAACAGTTTCACAAGAATAGATATTAATTTCTTCTGCATATATGTCGGCGTCTGTGGCTTAGGCGTTATCCTTGCGCTGGTTTCGACAGTGGTTTTGAGAAGCCGACCATCAAGACAGCAATGACAAACTACTGGATGTAAATTTGCCTAGAAAAATCACAACAGCCAAAAAATGCTGGGGTTGGTTCTGCAACGTCCTGTTAAGGATACGCAACAAAATAACATACATATGGGAGTGGAATAGAGGGTCTGGATGACAACAGTTTTACATTAATTGACACTAATTCATTCTACATATAAATGGGTGTGAAGTAGTTGCACTGAATGGCAACAGTTTTACATTAATTGACACTAATTCATTCTACATATATATGGGGGAGAAGTAGTTGGACCGAATGGCAACAGTTTCACATTAAATGACACTAACTCATTCTACATATATATGGGGGAGAAGTAGTTGGACCGAATGGCAACAGTTTTACATTAAATGACACTAACTCATTCTACATATATATGGGTGTGAAGTAGTTGGACTGAATGGCAACAGTTTTACATTAAATGACACTAACTCATTCTACATATATATGGGTGTGAAGTAGTTGGACTGAATGGCAACAGTTTCACATTAAATGACACTAACTCATTCTACATATATATGGGTGTGAAGTAGTTGGACTGAATGGCAACAGTTTTACATTAAATGACACTAACTCATTCTACATATATATGGGTGTGAAGTAGTTGGACCGAATGGCAACAGTTTTACATTAAATGACACTAACTTATTCTACATATATATGGGTGTGAAGTAGAGGGTCTTGATGACAACAGTTTCATAATAACTGATATTAGCTCACTCTACATACATATAGGAGTGAAGTAGAGGATCTGGACAATGCATATTGGAAAAGATAGGTGCACTTTAAATCAGTATGTCTCTGACATCATCAACATGAGAACTATTCAATGGCTAAAGAAGAAGGGTAACAGAGCATGTGTGTGAATACCCTGAATACTGTTATTTGATCAGTTATGTGCCCATTTCCACAATTAAGTATGGCTGCAATGGATCTCCATCCAGCAGAAAATGTTTTCTTTTGTCTTAGTAGCACACTGTCTCAGTTCATCCATCTCATTATGCTCCTCTTGTATCATTGTCCATGAAGAGGTGAAGAAAAGATGCTGGTATTTAGATATAACATACACTGAGAGAACCTGACAACAATATAACTAGAATGACTGCACTGGAGCCCACATGGGCATAGAAGCAAAGGCAGAGAAAGGGGGAAAAAACATGGAGAAGGGAGCTGGAGAATAAAGTAAAAAAAGATAGGGAGGACATACTGTAAAAGACAAGATGACCTGGCATGAGTCGGTCAATGGCCTATGCTCCACTGAGGGACAAAGAGGTAAAGAAGAAAAGAACCCTGTCACGATAAGCATCCTTTACTTTCACAAGTTCACTAAATATCTTTTCTTTCACACTGTTGACAACTGTTTTTTATGCATCTTTACAAAATCAGTTCCCCAGCACTATTTCATCTGGCCAGTGTCTTTTCCTCAAATTTTGATTCACTAAAATTTGCATTGTGCTATATAGAGTTTTGGGAGAGAACTAAAATTCCAATGAATCAAACGGTGAGGAACAGACACTGGCATTGGATAGGACATGTGGTGAGAAACATATGTTTAGAAAGTCTTTGCACTGGAACCCGCCGGGTCAAAGAAATAATGGCAGACTAAAAAACACACGTAGAAAGTAAAGTTTTAAAGATGGGAAGGATTTGAGGCGAACTGCTGCGATAGCAAAGGACAGGGCGACCTAGTATGAGCTGGTTGAGGGCCTATGCTCCATTGGGGAATAAAGTGGAGAAGAAAGAAGCAATGAAGTTTCATCAGACCTGTCTTCTTGCTCATTTGACCATCTGTAGTCTATTAACTCCCAACCAACCTACCATGTGTGATCAGCCACTGCCCACGTGTACCAAGCAACCAACAATGTGACCTGATGTTTAGCCTAAGCATACTACAGAGGCTTGGCGGGAGACTTGACTACCTCATCTGATGGAAAACTCTAGCTTAAAGATCATAAACTCTTGCAAAAGCTCAGCTGATTTGGTTGAAGGACTATGGCTCGTTGGAAGATAACATACAAAAGAAGCTGTTGACCCAGTCAGCAGACCTGTGTCTTTCCAAACCTGGGTACAATTCTTCATTTCTCAATACTTTGCTTCCAACTTATCTATGTAGATTCTACAGCACCATTTTAGGGTTTAACAAACAAACAACAAAAGAGGAGGAAAAACCCCGAACCCCACCCCAAATATTTTAAAAGGTGAGTTATTAGGTTTTTTTTTAATTGGATGAGTAGGGCCGAACGGCGCAGATACTGAAAAATAGCTGCAAATCACAATGTGATGTGCCAACAGCCCTTTTAACAGCAAACACTGAAGTAGAAGAAAAAGGAGTAACAGTAACCCTGCACGAATTCTGATCCACAAAATACCTTAATAGCAAAAACCAGAATCCTTCCCGTAGACACCATGTTCAGGAACAGGACCATGGCATCATCCTCTTGCTGGCTGTAAGTGTCAAATACCCTCTTGGCCATAACACTGCCCTGTGAATACATACAATACACTGTTAACTACAAGTGTTAAACATAACACTGCCCTGTGAATATCATACAATACACTGTTAACTACAAGTGTTAAACATAACACTGCCCTGTGAATACATACAATACACTGTTAACTACAAGTGTTTAACATAACACTGCCCTGTGAATATATACAATACACTGTTAACTACAAGTGTTAAACATAACACTGCCCTGTGAATACATACAGTACACTGTTAACAAGTGTTAAACATAACATTGCCCTGTGAATACATACAATACACTGTTAACTACAAGTGTTAAACATAACACTGCCCTGTGAATATATACAATACACTGTTAACTACAAGTGATAATCATAACACTGCCCTGTGAATACATACAATACACTGTTAACTACAAGTGTTAAACATAACACTGCCCTGTGAATATCATACAATACACTGTTAACTACAAGTGTTAAACATAAACACTGCCCTATGAATACATACAATACACTGTTAACTACAAGTATTAAACATAACACTGCCCTGTCAATACATACAGTACACTGTTAACAAGTGTTAAACATAACATTGCCCTGTGAATACATACAATACAATGTTAACTACAAGCGTTAAACATAACACTGCCCTGTGAATACATACAATACACCGTTAACTACAAGTGTTAAACATAACACTGCCCTGTGAATACATACAATACACCGTTAACTACAAGTGTTAAACATAACACTGCCCTGTGAATACATACAATACACTGTTAACTACAAGTGTTAAACATAACACTGCCCTGTGAATACATACAATCCACTGTTAACTACAAGTGTTAAACATAACACTGCCATGTGAATATATACAATCCACTGTTAACTACAAGTGATAAACATTGGTAGTCTGGTAGTCTTAGTTTCAGCTTCATAGCAAACGGGTTGCCCCATCTTTGCTCCGCTCCTGTGCCAGCGAAAAACACTCAGAATGTCTATCACAGTCCCTTGTAGAAAGATTGACAGACTGCTGTCTCAGCATATCTAGCATACACTCGCATTAAAGCATATGGTAGCCATCCGAAGTGCTAACACAAACAGTCCAACATTAGAAATGCAGTTCATCATTGATGATAGCAGAACTTGTCGTCAACAGATCAGCAGTTGTCCGCGTGATCAATTTTAATACGGGTCCCGCAAGCATTGAACTACAGGCATCGCGCCATTTTCTGAATCTACAATTCACACCACCACGTTGGTCACAGTCGAAAAAAAACATTCCAAATGCAATCCGCAGCTCACAGGGTCACGCCATGCATTCAACTCAGAAGCTGGGCGACGAAACTATATCCAGTCTACAAATGGAGCAAAAATGCATCGGCCACGGTCCGGCAGAAGCAAAAAATTTGCCTGTTCCGAACGGCGCTGCTGTCTAGCAACACTGCCATGTGAATATATACAATCCACTGTTAACTACAGGTGTTAAACATAACCCTGCCCTGAGAATACATACACTACACTGTTAACTACAGGTGTTAAACATAACACTGCCCTGTGAATACATACACTACACTGTTAACTACAGGTGTTAAACATAACACTGCCCTGAGAATACATACACTACACTGTTAACTACAGGTGTTAAACATAACCCTGCCCTGTGAATACATACACTACACTGTTAACTACAGGTGTTAAACATAACACTGCCCTGTGAATACATACAATCCACTGTTAACTACAAGTGTTAAACATAACACTTTCCTTTGAGTCCCCATATGAGTTCCGGTGCCCCATTGTGGGGGAAAAACAAAAATAGACCCCCTGCCTGCCCAAAAGCGTGTCGTAAGAGTCGACTAATTGGGTGTTTTCTTTGAAGTGGAGTACATTTGCATGAGAGGCAAAGAATCAACAGTCTGCATGTAAATAAGCCAGACTTGTAAAAAAAAAAAAAGATCTGCATGCAACACTCATTTTTTGGAACTGGACTAGAGTCTAGAAATGGACAAACAACCAGAACTTTCCACCCGAGTTTACAAACGGTGAATGCGAAGAAGGAGAAGACTTTCTTCCTGTAAAGTAAAGAGAAAAGAACAATTATAAAGACGTTTTGAGGCATATGATGCTAGACTTATGGTTTCCTAGACTTAATCAGCACTTCGTGGGTAGTGTGGTCAAAATTATGCCTGCCGCCTTTACTCCCCAGAACATTATATGGTACCCATTTTAGGTCCGGGCAGCCTGGGAGCTAAGAAAAAATCTACCTCAATGCGGAGTTGACTTTTGTGCTGCCAAGCAGGCATCTAGCCATCACATCGTCATGTCAGTGGCAGAATTATTTTTAACATTTAACTCTTTCAGTCCAAAATAAGGCATCGTGTGTGATATAGCTGTGTCCAGATTAACCCTGGAACGCACGATCTGTATGACGAATACAACTGAAATCTTGTCAGTTATTTCAAATTGCAACACGGCCTCTGCTTCATGCAAAACATGCAAATGCTGCCACTGTAAAAGTTATGGATTCATGTTCTATTCATTGTGGGTATCGTTTCCGCTATATATTTTTTGTGAAACCTCAAGGGACTGAAAGACTTTAGCCAATGACATTTTTATTTATATTTTCCCAGCCCATCCAGCCCATCTGCTCTTAAATCCATAAATGACTGTATTTTTTACGCTTAAAACTGGGGATTGTGTTATGCACAGAATACACGGAATGTGCTTAAAATATTTATTTACAAATTTCAGGCTTGAAAAAAAAAAATAGGCATTGTCCTTGTGACAAACCATCGGAATATTTCGGTCCGGCAAGAGTTAATTGCATCTTGTGGTTAAAAGAATTGCGCACTTAAAATAAAGATAGTTGAGTATAGACGCGAGAAGAATAGAAAATGTACGAAGGCGCACATAATTTATGACGTTTTCGTAGTGTTACTAGGAGAAACCCTTAGAGCTAGATTCGTCACTACACCAAACGACAGCCCCAGCCATACCCTCGGCCTACCACCAAGAAATAATAATAATAAAATCATACGAATTCAGGTGAGATTTATAATGGTAGGGAGTAGCTGAGATCCCCTGTAAGCCTGTAAGCCTTAGCTGTATCCTGAAATATTTTATCGAGATCCTACCATTCTATATTCTACCATTGTATAAATATTCCGTGAATTCATCAACCTTGATACTTGTCCTTTGGACAATTTACTAGTCCCTACATTTATAACTTTCTTTAGGCTACTATTCACAGTTAGGACTATGTATTAGCGAACTCTCCTTTCCTCTGTCATCTTTTCTGAAAATATTCATTTGGTTTCCTTGCGTAAAGATCTTACAGTATAAACCATCATCCTGTGCCATGTGGTATCATCAGTTGGGTATACATTACATTGCTTATGTTTATTATATTATGCAACATACCATTTGAGTAAATGTCGTCAGCTGTGTGGGCATATAGGGTTGGCCTTTGTTTTATAGACGAAGTGGTACCTGGGCGTTGATGTGGTCAACATCACACCTGCTGCCTTTACTCCCCATTACTATACCTGGTGTCCATTCAAGGCGAAGTCGACCCTGGTCTGTTGGGACTTGAACTAACGACTGTCCAATTCGCATGCGAATGTGTGTCCGCTTAATTATGTCAAGTTTTATATGATCGTGCAAGAATTGTATATGTATAAAACAATATATTATAATGGGGTGGAGAGATTTATTATTGATATATTGCTCGTTTGAACCTTGCTCTTTCCCTTACTAATCTGAAAACACCACAAACACCGCAACACCTCCACCTGCCCCAGATGTGTCGACATAATTCTCAACACAAGGCTGATTGATGTATTTTTTCAGGTTCCCGGTAACCCTATGGATGCTTAACAACATTATAGAAGGAGATTCTGAAATGAACTGAAGACTTATGCAGATATCCAATCACTACAATTGTTGCCGCCAGTGTATTGTCCATACCACAGAACGCCGTATTCAGCTTGAACGATCGTTGAGATGAGTGACGTTGATACATTGAAATTGTTTTTTCATGTGGAATGATGAGTTAATTTCCTTTTGAGTTGAATAATTTGTTAGCATTCTTAGTCAGCATTATATCAATACAATTGTTTTTTTTTTTGAAAACTCAAACATCGAAGTTACCTTGTTTAGTATCAAATTTAATTCCTTGTGTAGACAAAGTATTGTACATTGTGATTTATTTAAGTTTAATTTACAAAGTGTTGAACTTTGGTTTTCTGAATTTAGTTAGAAAAATAATTATGTATTCCATTATATTCCGGGGATTCACCCTATTGGTTTGATTTTCTGTATTTTCCTTCCTTTCTTTATGAACTCAGGGACCGTTAGAATTCCCCTAGACTTTCTTAATTCGAGCCCTGTAAATTATTAGGAAGGATTATAGGGGATCTCCAGGCGAGGAAAAATTCCGCCAAACAAAATTACCACAGTCCTATACCCGGCAAAATATGGTAGTTTTGCAAAGCAATCTTTTCATACCTTGAGGTAAAGCGAGCACAGCGTGTTAGTCTTAATTTTTTATAGATCAATTAGTACTCAAGGAGTTATCAGGTCAAAATCACTTCAGTCACCTTTACTTCCTGGATATTTCTTAATACCCAGAGTATCAAGTGTTTCGTGACCCCAAGTATGGGATATTAAGTTCTTTAGCGAGTCCAATTTTATAAATCTGTCCAGATGGGGGTTCGAACCCATGCCCACCGGGCCAGCATGCAAGCACTCACTAACACTGCACTTCCTTCTTCCATAAATGTTATTTATCCTCTCACAGGATATGAACATGTTATCTACAGAACTCTGCAATGGCTTGTGAAGGAGGGGATGGAGTGTGACGTTCCAACTGTTGCAATGTTAGTTCTTAACTCAGCTCTGATATATCATTACGGTCTGAGGAGAATGGCACTGCCGGGAGTGACAAGGGGATCTGGCCGACGATCCAAACTCAGGCGAGACGGATATACAATCAGACAGTTACTGGTCCCATAGGAATTTTAACTCTTTGCTTGCTGCTGAAGATGGGGACGGAACGCTTATGGGAGTGTCCTGAGTGCTGTGATGTGGATTCTTAATTCAACATTCAACTCAACTCTGCAGAGCATATTTGATAACCTAACCTGCAAGACACACAGAATAAAATATCCCAATAAAAACATGAGATATCTAAGGCATAAACTACATTTGCAAACTCACTGTTGACTGGTTAAGAATAATCACATGGATACCTCTGTTTTTATCAAAACCTTCATCTTGAAGAATCTGGGGAAGTGCACAGAATACCAATTAAAATTTAATGAAGACATGTTCATAGAAATGATCTATTCATCCAATGATATAAATGGCAAAGGATGGTCCTGTCCTTTTCCTGCACTTTTCTACATAAAAGTTAGAAATACAGTTTATTATATCCTCTTATGTCCTTTACTGATTAGATATATGGATTAACTAAACTCGCCAGGTTCCTTTTTTGATCTCTCTCTCTCTCTCTGTGAGTGTGAGTGAGAGAGAGAGAGAGAGAGAGAGTCTGAGTGAGAGAGTGTGTGAGTGTGTGAGTGTGTGTAAGTGTGTGTGAGTGTGTGTGTGTGTGTGTGTGAGTGTGAGTGAGTGTGAGTGTGGGGGGTGGGGGTGGGGGGTGGGGTGGGGGTGCGTGTGTGTGTGTGTGCGTGCATGCGTGCGCGTGTGTGTGTGGGCGCGCGCACCTGCCTGTGTGCGTGCAAGTGTGCCTGTGTGTTTTGTGTTGTGTGCATTTTTTATTTTTTTATTATTGATGAAGGATTCTTGTTTTATTAACTGATAAAAGCTGGTCAAAAATATTCTGTGTGCTGCTTACCTTTCACTGAGTTTCCATTATATATTGTGATGTGCTCATTGGGATTTGTTTATGATTTGTTATCATCTGTGGTGTAGGTTATGAAAATGTGCTTCGTAAGTGTGAAATACCGGGTTCGATTCTAGCTGTGGGTGATTTGGCAGCAGACAGACTTGCGTTGTTTCTGACAACTGTGAGGAGCACTGACCGTTTAGAAAGCAATGGCAAACTACTGAATGTAAACTGCCTAGTGAAAAGCTGCAATTTCCTATAAAGAATATGCAACTAACTTTTAAAGCTCGCTGAATTTTGCATCAATATTTTTCTTTGGGATGGGGCACCATAAACCTAAATTATGTTTTTAAAATTCAAAGAAGAAAACCACTAGCTGAAAGATGAAACTCCTACCGTTGTTCCATCAACTGCAATAAACACATTTTCTCTACTTGAAACCAAGTTGATTGTAACTGATTGTGGCAGAGAGTGACCGTTTAATCTCTTGTTGGAATTGGGTTCCTCAATTTTCATCTCTGCAACGCCTGTGTGGAAAAGACAGCAAAAGTAAACAGTATCTGTTAAATATAGGTATACTATTCACTAGACCAGTGGTTCCCAATGAGTTAAGACCCTCAGACTCCCACTTTTTTTCTTTTTCTAAAATGATATCACAGATCCGTTAGATTTGTTCAGCTGACCCCTGAGGTCTGTGGACTAACGAGTGGGAACCACTGCACTACCGTAATACTGGCTTATGTTACAGGACACGACTCAATTTCCTGTCAATGTATTTCTGTAATATTCACAGCGTCAGATAGTGAAGTATGACAATCAATAATCTGTGTCAGCTGTTATTTGTGTTTTCCTTGTTCCAATTTACAACAGGAAAACAAGCTGAAAGATGGAAGCCGTAGAATTCTACAAAGCAGGATTAGGCAAAACAAAGCTTCTTCTTCTCCTTTTTCTAAGCATTCATTGGACAAATGTTTATTGGACAAGCTTTGGCAGTTGGTAGTAGCACGGCAGACACTGATCGGACCACTTTGGCTTTAGGGATTTAAAAGTTCTCTTACCTAGGGGTATCCCCCCCCACCCCCCCCCCCCCCCCCCCCCACCCACACCTTTCCGTTGCGTCCACAGCCAGCTCGAAGCTTTTTGAGCTGATTCATCCAGTTGTTATGTATATTACATTTTCGAATCACAACTCAAGTTGGAACAGGATATTTACTAAGAAAAGTTGTGTAAATCATCATCATCATCGCCTTGCCAGTTGGTGGAGGCGTTCATGTGTGGCCACAGATCTCTGTCTTTGGTATTCTGGATCAATTCCACTGATGATACTCCTCCATGTCACTGTCTTAAGCATCCACCATCATTTCTCTTGGTCTGCCTCTGCCTCTTCTACCAGTGATCTTTCCAGTCGTCACAATATTTTCCAGTGCTCTTTTCTCATTACATGACCGAAGAACTTTGTTTGTCTCCTTCTCATTGTTGTATATAATGTTCTACTTTCATTAGACATTTCCATGTAAATCAGAATCTCCATAATCTCCTCACTTAGAACAAACAATGGACAATAAAAACAATACATAAAAACAACAACACATAAAAACAACACATACCATTCTCTGGCTCATGACCAACTAGCTTCTTGCTGATGTCAAACACATATAGCAGGTTGATGACAGCAGTGGTGAGAAGAATAACCAGGAGCCCAGCCTGAGGGTAGAAATCAAACACTATCATGCAAACCAGAAGGCAAAAATGTCAGTTTTAAGCCTATGCTAACCTATGTCCTTTGCATCTATATTAAAATCTCAATTTCAAATACACTATGCTTGTGTGCTTTGCAACAATGTCAGTTTTACCTTTTTTCCCCACAAAATAATCTCTGTTTGAAAAAATGTATCTTACCACACTGTTAAACAGCAAGTACATATTATATACCAGGAAACATTAGAAACTAAAGTTAAAAAAGAAAACAACTGATAAGACTCTACAAGAAGTGGGGCTACGTGGGACTGATGTCTCGAGTACACACAGCACACATGATTAAATACACTAATCCTAAAAACCTGTTGCACAAATCTACATATAAATCAAGATTTAGGAAACACATACAGCACACGGGGAAAATGACTGACAACTATTGATCTTTATACGATACACATTTTTCAATTAAAATTCTGAAGAAAATTGTCCCGCCCTCACCCAGTGGGTAGTTGGAATCCTATACCACTTTTAGTATGAGGAAACAACAGATCTAAACATGTAAAGGCAAGTGGGATCAACTTCACTGCACTAGATTTTATCCTGCTGTCCTGTTATCAACAGAATAGCAAATCCCCTGCCCAGAGTACCACACAAAGCATTAACTCCATAGTTCCAGTATTGATCTCCAGCCTTCTCCATTTAAACTGCAGCCAGAAACTGAACAATACAGTATGGAAACAATCTTCAGAACATAAGGCAAACACATGTCTCAACCATTTACAAACCAGACTCCTAAAATTAGGAACTAAATAAACACAACTCACAGATGACAAAGAACGCTCAATGAACAGAAACAAAAGATGCATATAGAAATAACTGAAATTTTCAAAAGTCTTTATAAATGAAAAGTTCAGAAAAGCATTGATGCATGTTTTATAGATAACAAGAAGGCCTATGACAAGGTGCAACATGACAAGCTAGTTGCATACCTCCAAACTAGATGGAAAGGATATCAGAATTATTAGCAATTTATACTGGGAACAAACAACAATAGTTAGACCCAATAACATTGTCTAACCACAGATAGAGACAAAAAGAAGAGTATGTTAATGATGTGTATTATCCCTCTCATAATCATCATCCTGTAACAATGTGTGACACCAGTTGCTGTTGACTGTCTGATCAGCCACCTCCCCCCCCCCCCCATCTTTGGCAGTCAGTTGTGATCGACTTCATGGTTGCATGTCAAAGGGCTGTCCAGTCAGTCATGTTCTGTATCCAGGTCTTTCTTGATCTTGGTCTACCTCTTCTCCTCTACTGCACTGTGTTGTATTTTGTTGTTGTTGTTGAGAGGCCGCTAGATCTTATTACCTGTCCATACCATTGTGTTTCTGCCTTTTCACTGCAGTTAAAACAGGTTTATAATTGCCAGTGTGTTAGATAATTATATGGCGAACCTCGCCATTTGTGATGTGGTCTCTGTATGACATGCCAAGGATATTTGTAAAAGATCACATGAATGATAAGTTTACATGAACAATTATGTCAACACAAAAGAAAGTCTCACCTTAAAAAACTTGCCAAAACATCTTCTTCCAGTCAAGTTTCTAACTGTAACACCAGCAAAATGTCTTGAACCGTATTTTGCCTTTGGAATGTAGGGCTTGGCCCGAGGGTTGGGCACCCAGCTGTCCATCCTCAGGTCATCTGTCACCTGAATAAATTCACATCATTATACTGCTGCCACTTTGTCAAAGTTACCTAAATGCTAAATACTTGGTTTGAGAAAAACAACTGAAATCCAGAAGAACTTGCATTTATGCTTTATAGATTACACAAAAGTATCTGATAAGGTGAAACATGAGGAACTTGACAAAATGTTGACAGATATTAACACTGATGGGAAAGATCTCAGAATAATTAGGAATATTTATTGGAAGCAAACGGCAGCTATAAAAATAGGAAATAGAATTGACATATATAACTTATCAAACAAGGAGCAAGAGAGGGATGTGTCTTGTCATCTGACCTCTTTTCTCTCTCTCTCTCTCTCTCTCTCTCTCTCTTTCTCTCTCTCTCTCTCTGTAGTGAGAGGATATTAAGAAAGATCAAAAATACACAAGGAATTAGGGCGGAAGGTTATAATATAAACAACATTTTGCAAATGACAAAGTACTGACAGATGAAAATACAAATGATCTACAATAATTACTGGACATCATAGTGAGGGAGGGAGAGTACAAAAAAATTATCAGTCCTTGAATATAAAGAAAATTGTGGTTTTATCAAAGAAAAGAATACCACCACATTGTGATATTTGAACAGAAGGTAACAAATTAATCCAAGTCAATAAATTCAAATATCTGGGCACAATCATAACATCTTATGGAAGACATGTGCCAGAAATTAAGAGCAGAATAGGCCAGGCTAAGACTGCATTTCACAGAATGAACAACATCTTGTACAAAAGGTCCCTCTCTTTGGATGTCCGAAAAAGAGCACCAAAATAGCATGTAGAACCTATATTGCTGTATGCTAGTTAATAATGGAATGTGAATGCACACATTAGAAAGAACTTAGAGGTGACGGAGATGGGGTTTCTCATACGAATGTTAAGAATCCCTTGCACTGCTAGCATAACTAATGAGGACTGCTTGAAGTAAGCTAATGAAAAAAAAAGATCAATATATACAGCTATAAGGAAAAGAGAAGCATTGTTCTTTAGTCAGGTGAAGGATAAAAATGTGCAAAATAGATGCGGGCTCACAATTCAGGTTCTGGAACAAGACTAAAGTTAGAAGTGGACGAACAACCAGAACTTTCCACCTGAGTTTACAGCCGGTGAACGCAAAGAAGAATATGGCTGACAAAGTTGAAGTTGAGGTTGTCTGTGAGGTCAAAAAGAAACCAACTTTTATAAGCTGTTTTTATTTGTTGCTTTCCTTAATTGTTCAAATTTTTTTGTTGAGAGAGAGAGAGAGAGAGAGAGAGAGAGAGTGTGTGTGTGTGTGCGCGCGTGTGTATGTGTGTAATTCAAAACAGTTTTTTTCTCCAATGAGATCAATGTGACAAACAGTTGTATTGATACCATAGGATATCATACACCATCTGTTGCAAAATAAGTGTTATTAAATAAAGGAAAAACAAGCTATAGAAATGGACAGAAACAAGCCTCATTTCCAAAGCATTTGATCAAGCAATAATATGAACAAAGTCCAGGTTCTTATTCGTTCCCAAGCCACAGCAGCTAGTTGTGACGGTTGCTGATTGCTTTGCATTTCAAATGATAAGACACTTAACTATCCCATGCATAAAATGCCTGTCAGACTGGACCACAAACACCTGAGCACCACACTGCAGATCTGCCACTCTACCTACAACTTCGAAGTGAAACCTGGCCTTAAGAGCAAAGTGTACAGAGCAAGCTATGGGGAACCATGAAAGACCTGCTGCTGACATGCGAGTTCACAGAGGCAACCCATCTGATGGCTTGACCTGAGCATACAAAAACTGAATGCAAAGAAGACGGAAAAGAAAGAAAGAGATAAGAAATATGACGAAGATTTTGGTAGAACCATTACTTAAAGATTGAGGATGCAATCACAACTTCTGATTGATGAGAAATCACAAGAAAACAGAAAGACATTGTTTGAGTACAGTGCCACACAATGATGAAAAAGAGGCCTATTGACCCTAAACAAGCATGTTCTAAAAGGTGACTAATTAAGAACTAGCTGAAATCAGATGTGTTGAGCTAAAACAACAGATATCAATGCCAGCTGTAAATCAAAACATAACATGCCAATAACCCTCTCAACAAGGAATACCA